GAATTAGGTTGGACCTCAGTGTCAGGCTGCCTGATGGCTCCGCTCAGGAAAAGCTGGTAATTGAAGCCGATGGCTGCCGGGGAGGAGGTCTGAATTTGGAAATAAACAGTTTCAAGCACTGAACGTCATTTCTAGAGAGATGACAGGGGAAATGGAAATGAGCTCACTGGATATAATGTGCTTTGACAGCAGGGAAAAAGGGAGCCATCTTTCAGATAACAATTCTACTCATTAAAACTGCCATAATAATGGTGAGAGACCAAGTTACAAAATTAGAGAGGACAATTAGATCTGTTGGCCAGACAAACCAAATAAACAAAATCTCATTTCTCTGCACTGTCTGTCTTCTTTCTGTTTGCTATAGTTCTGTTAACAGGGTTTTAAATGTTAGCAGAGCTAACACCTACTAAAATCTTCCAAAGACACTTCAATCTTCAACCCTGTCTCTGTGAGTAGAAGTGTGCTTATAAATTGTGTCAAATTATTTTGGGCAGTTACAGAATGAATAGTGTAGCAAATGTCGTCCACAGAACTGTAGCTTTCTAATAATATTACATTTTGAGGTACTTGTTTACCATATCCATTTCCCCATATACTGAGAAGAACAATTAGGAAAGGTGAAATGTGCCTTTTGTTGCTCACTAGTCCAGTTTGCAGGCTCATTATCAGGCCCTGCTGCTTTTTCAAGCACTAAGAGGAAGTTAAACAAAGCACCACTCACTCTTCACCAACAACAGACTCCAGAGCCATCACCAAACGCTGAGAAGTGAAGAGCCTGCGAAAACAAATCACTAAGACATCCCCCGTCTCTTTTCTCCTCCGCCGCACCCTGTTACCGCCTCAGCCAATCACGGCTTTCTCTAGCAACAGTGGGGAGGAAGCATGGCTTGGCTGTTAGACATGTCCTTCACAGTCCAGCATGCATGTTTGATTCTTAATATTGTCATTGCTGTTTGTTAGTTCCTAATGAATAACTGTAGATGTATTTTATAGCAGAGTTGATTAAGCAGAACAAACACATCGGTGTCAGGGGATATAATGTGTTGATATAGTGAACATGCATCTAAACACACGTACGGCAGAGGAGTCCTAATTAAAGTGGCTCTGCTGATGCATCCTGGTGTACAGTGGAGCAGGACCCAAGCTGCTACAGGAACAGTTCATCGTGGCCAATTAGATGCTGCATCAAAGCCAGGGCAGCTATAAAGCCACAAGTTCACAGGCAACATTGTTGTGTGTGTGGTCAGCAATCAGCACAGTCCCCTGCTGGGATGGGGCAGTGTTCAGCCACAGCGAGAGTAACCTGACAGCACTAAGTACAGCAGAGGCCTCGCTGCCTGCTGTGTCATCTCCTTCTCATGTTTGTACATGTCTATGTGCCCAGCTACTGGCCTTCGAGATGCAAGCAGCGCATCTTAAAACTGCACATCTGGTGCCCCACTGAGTTGGCTGTATTTTTTGCCTATTTCCATCATATTATGCATGTTTGGTTCTAAGAGGGCAAAAATGATGCTCCCAAACTAAGAATAAAGTAACTACTATTTTCTGCAAAGTATTTGATAAAAATAAATGTATGAAAACAGACAAACATACTACTATTTGATTATTTGTATAATAACATTCTACTCACTAATATACGTATGATACACTAATATACATACACTTAAAGTATCCATTAACCAAATAAATAAGCTTTGGGCGATTATGTGTTTATTTGTTTTTGTCCTTTTACTTTGGATTCATAATTACTGATTATGTAATGCTTGAAGCGTGTTCTGCGATTGCTGTTCTCTGCTTATTAGAGAATGATTAGTGCATGACAAATGTACTTGCTTCTAAATATGTTAATTATCAGCCTTTGTTGTGAGTGCTGTAGTTAAAAGCACAAGTACTAACCTCGCACAAGCTTCTAAATTACTGACCATGGGTTTCTTTGAAAGACTATATTTAATCAAGTGACATACACTTTCAGGGCTAATGTGGCTTGCATTATATGTCAGAGATCTGGTTAAGTCACTTAACTGCATCATACTTTGATTTTATTATGCAGAATTATGAACAAACTTCTCCACATTGTGGAGATTGAAAACATATTTGCATATGTTCATGGAGAAACAAGCCATCGCAGCCTGCGTATGTAGTGCATATAAACACAGGAACATTTCACCTGCAGTGATCAAAGTGACTCAAGGACCGTGACCAGTGGGCCAAATAGTGTTGGTTTTCATTGAAGTATGCAATCCTCTCCTCTACACTCCAGGGAATAAAAAAGTATTATGTGATCTATATTTCTTCCAATGTTACAAGAATCAAAACCTATAACGAGAAATCACATAAAAATGGTGTCACTACATATATATACATATATATGATTTGCAGTATATTAGATCTGTTGAGTGTGTGTAAGCTCTGTCCACGGAGCTCGGTTTGTCAAAACTTGGTTAAGGGTGCCCCCAACTGGTCATCCGAGGATTTTGTGTTTTTTAGTCCAGCACTGTGGCTGCTCTTTTATCAGTGTGTTCAACCTCAACTTTAGCAATCAATATAATATAATTAGTACAATAACCAAATTACATAGTTTTTTTTTATATTTAGTCATTTATTTTTTGCCTGCAATTTTTTTGTTTTCTTTTTTCAGGCAGACAGACAATTGCGTTCACTTGAAGGGCATCTCATTGCACCAGATGCCATAATTTGGAGGGACTCATTTTCCTGTTCATGGATCCATTCACCGGCTGCCGTTCATCAATATGGGAGTCTATGAGGTGAGAAAAAACTGTAATGACAGACAGGGAATCAGCTGCTCAATAAGCCGGTCCTAATTGCTTAGCAACAGTGTTCCAGGGTCTCTCATTGAGATCAAGAGTTTAGTGGACTGACGACGCCGCTTTGGAGAAATAGAGCTTGCGCCATTCATTGAAATGGTGGAGAAATGGCCTCTATCTATTACTTCCTCGCCACATCTTTTTCTCTCCCGCTAGTCCCCTCTCAACGTCTCAGCAGACACCCCCCACCCCCCAAGTCAAACCTTTCCCACCAGGATGATTATGTTACCTTTCAACTGCATGATGTATTCAGTTCACTAGATTATTTTCTGTCATCTCAGTTAATTGAATTCTGTCCATCATATATAGATGTTTTCACATTTGCATAAAGGTTAGAGTGGTGAAGAGTGTCAAACTTCAATTTAGACAATGTCACTCAAATAAATATACTGACTGCTTTTTCTCCATCCCCTCCGCAGGATAGAGGGTTATTTACTGATTTGGTCTGAATTTTAATAGATCTGTATTCCTGGAATGCAGCAGCCCTCGTATTCATATACATGTAAATATGAATATGAAAATGACCGGATGGCTCACTGATAGAGGCATGAATCTTTGCACTCATCTCCGCTTCTCTATGGATGTGATTATTATACATGTATGTGCGTTTACATGGTCACCCTCTTCCGCCCAGTCTAACCATTCCCTCCTACTCTGCTGCTCATTGTCAAGTGGCCCTAACAGCCTGCTATCCTATATGGGGCCATAGTGGGTGGGTCAATAAATGGCCTACCCTACTGTCATAATGTGTGAGCTATTCATACAGGCTTAGTTTTAAACATATATCAAATGTGAATCTATTTTTTCACGACAACCATGCATAACATTGACACATTTAACTTTGCACACTTTTTATTTTTCTAATTTGAGCAATAAACAAAAAGGTTGATAAAACAAAAGTTAATCATTACAGGTATATTTGCTACTCAAAAAGAGTAAATATGCCACGTACAATTTGTACATTTGAAATATTGCAAATTCTGAATTAAGAAGATTCCACATTTAAACTATCTATACACTAGCCTGTTTATGAGAAGTTAAACATCATCATTTTGTAGAAATACAAATAAAAACAGTTAATTCAACATGGTTAACAAATATAATTCTATAATAATACTAATAATACTAATAATGATAATAATAATAATAATAATAACAATAATGATAATTGCCTTTTACATGGTCTCCAGGTCTAATAATCCATCATCATGATTAAAATTACATTAATATTACTCTATTTTAAAAAATTTGTTTATTAGTGAATTGCTTTGAAAATGGATCTGTTTCTCTTTAGTAGCACTTTTCATATTAGCCCCCTTCAAATAAACAGCCATTAGCTTTATATATTGCATGGACACGTGGAACTGTGTCAGTTAGTCAATAAATGGAAGTGCGAAGACGGCGGACAGATTAGAGTGCTTATCTCTTTTCATCTACTCTGAATGCCAGTTGAATTGAAGGTCAATATCGGAGGATTCTCACAGGCGAGCAGGTGCCTGGAGAGTATGGATTGGCTAGAGCTGCCGGCGCCTCTGTCCGTCTTTGTGGGCAACCCAGGGCCCATTTCAAAAGTGTCACTGTTGTGTGTGAGGCTGCTGTGGCGTGTGCTAAATCGCTATACATATTATAGGTCTCATTTTTTTCCCCCATTTGTATATTTCCTATGCGATATGACAGATAGTAGCTACGTGGCAGAAGCTGTGTGTTATCTGACTTAGGACATGCCTGAATGTTATTCCAAGCGATAACATAAAAGACAATTGTATACATGAATCGATTGTTGTTTACAGCTATTGAAAAAAAGATTTGCTATCATGTTGTACAATGCAGTCGTCTAGTCACTGAAAGAGGAAACCTTCTCTAATTTGTAAATGATAGAACATAAATGGTGAAGGTGAAAAGCATGCCTCTCCGAAAGCAAGCCATCTGTTTACCGCCATTTTCAAGGTTGGTTGTTATTGATTACATCTCTATTTCACCTTCCATTTGCAAGAAAAACACAGCAGATAAAGCACTATTTAAAACTGACTGAGCTCGTACAACACTATCTTGGTTCTTTTCTCTCGGCTGCTTTCCAGTGAATGCAAAGATTTGTCTGATTGAAGATGGACAGTGAAAGCCTGACAGGCCATGAACGGGGCAGATGGTGCTCTGCTCTAACGTCTGCGGGTTCCTATGTTTGTGTTTGAGCTTAGCACTCCGCTCAAACTCTGGAAACCACACAAAACGGTAGATAAAACGGCTCTGGGTCTACTGCACACGGGGCCGCTCGTGAGGTGATGCTGCTGGTCTCTGCACGTGCGTGTGTGCTTGAAGGAGGTGGCGCTTGTGTATATTGAAGGGTCTTGTCCAGTGTGTGTCAGAGGGCCCTTTCGGCTACTCTCTGCCCAGACAAAGCTGTGGTGAGGGGCTCTCTCCAACAGGACATGGCTGCTGGGGGGAGAGAGCAGGAGCACTCCAGAGCCCAGCGCCTGCAGGAGGAGGCTATTGGAGCCAGCTCGTCCACTCCTCAGGCTGACCGATGTGAGCACCAGCCCTGTCTGACCTTATCTCAGTCTGTCTGCAGCCGTCAGTCAGCAGATGCACAGGCAAAAACAAGCTTTTAGTCAGAGAGAATAAATCATCAAATCACCTGCAGCTCAATTTGTGTTCTCGGATGTCAGTATGTAAAGTTTCCGAAACACATAATGAAGGAAAAAGTGGGTGTAATCAATTTGTAGATTGACACAACCACATTGAAAACAAATCTAACATATTGTGCTGACTTCTGAGTTTTACAAATAAACCGAAAATATACTGTGTTTATGTATACTGTTCTCATGTTATGTTGTAGTTTTAAATTATTCAGACAAAGTTGCGAGCCTACCCATGGCTTTTATTTACATGGTAGTCTTTCGTGTCTCAATGGGAGAGCCTAGCTAGCTGATAGGTCCTTTCAGATATATACAAAGACCGCTTCAGCTGCTTTTTGTTGCCGTAACTACCTCTTTCTTCCTCACATTCCAAATATCTTTGGTTCAAAACTGGTGGCCTTGATGAACAAGGTTCTATGGAATCAATCAACTGCTTCTCTCTGAAGATCTTACCATGGTTTAATGTTGGCCTTGCCACATTGTCCTTTTGAGATAAACCTCATCCAACTTACGCCTGAGATCCAAGTTTCTTTTCTGAGGGGTCTTTTTGTGTAGAGTGGATTTCAGAGAGGCCTTACTGAGGGGAAAAATACAACCAGAGAAATACAAGCAAGGCTGTCACACACTGTTCTCTCTAATAATAGACAACGGCATACCTAAAGCATTTTTTCTTTAGCTCCGTTATTCGCTAAAGTCAAAGAAATATCTTGAAATCTGTCCTTAAACTTTTCACAGTGATAATCAAAGTGTTATTGTGTTCTCAAAATATGTTGTTGTACACAAGCTTTAATATAAATGTACACCTCTAATGCAGCATAGATATAACTATAGGGTATAATATATACATACAGTATAATATATAGTTTACTTATCCAGTGGGTAAACAGTTGCTGAACCATATTAATGTAATTTTGGTCACATTTGCCAATTTTAATGCACCTGTGTTTTTTGCTGCAGCATGAAGCAGATCGCGATTCATAGGGGACATATGTGCGCAGCCCCATCAGTGCTTACAGCCTCTTGCTGCTTCAGTAAAATAGCAACATCTGCCTACTGTTTTTTATAGCGCACAACATATGCCTCTTCTTTTGTGACAAAGCTGGCTGTGTCTCTCATGCTGTTTCCATCCTCCTAGTCCAAACATACATCTTCAGATACCTGTCAGCCTTTATTATTCCATTCTCTGTGGCTGCAGATAAGGGAAGTTAAAGTTTAATGAAATGCAGCCTGGTTACTGAGGCTCGGCTTTTATAATTTGTCACAAGCTGGGTGCTGGGAGCCCATTGCTATGTAAACACACTGGCCTGGTCACAGCCATTACTTCTAAATGACAGAACACAGACCAAGTGTCAGAAATGTCATTCTACTGTCACTATTTTCCTGTTGTTGGTGGATTACAAAGGGAACAACATCAAAATAGGCCTGCTGTAATGTTAACACATCACCAAGGACACTTTGCCTCGATATTATTCATAACATTCTGTGTATGTTGCATTGTCTTTCTAAGGATACACACAACAGATAGGTGAACATGATACTGTTAACACAAATCTCCAGGGTGATGAGTGCTCTCTGAGACAATGTACTGCAGGAACCTGACAACTGCTGCTGACACACACCCCGATTCAGACATAAGTGCAATAGAACTATTTCACCTATAATCACAAGTCAAGATAGGCCTTAGATGCCTCAGGCTACAGCGGTCAAAAGCCATGATGCATTTCTTGTTCAGGTATTTCTGGCCTGAAGTCTAAAAGCATCTTGTGCGATTTAATCTCTTATATATGTTTAATAATTTGTCTTAAAAAGGTTGATTTGATGGAGTTTATCCATTCATTGTATAGAGTAAGAGAAGTATTTACCTGCTTCACTTTGTATTAAAACTCCAGGAATCCACTATTTCGGCTACTTCAAAATTAAGCACCTTTTTAGCTGCAGGCTGCGGTCTTGCTAAGAGCCGTATTCCACTCATTTAAATAGCATGATACAAAGCACATAACCCCATGTGCTCTTGAGCTGCTGTTGATGTCTTAATATGGCCTCAATCTAATTTCCCTGATCCTTTTTGACATTTATCCTTTAGGTAAACTCCAGCCTGTGTCCCACTGGCGCCCATGCCAACAAATCGATGGCACCTGCTCCATGCTAAAATAATTGTTTTCTTTTTTGTGATGGTAACAAGGCCCTATTAAAACCGAGTGTGTTTTTATTGCTTGATTTTAGGCAAACAAACACATGCACTGGACTGGGTGGACTTTGTGTGTAGGTGTGTGGAACTGACGGGGACTATAATTAGTTTCTCCGTGTATCGGGTGGTTGCTGGTCACAGACAGGAGGAATGGGAGCGATAACAGATTGAGCGACTCCGATAAACTCGCCACTAATAGTTCTGTCTGTCCCCTGTTTATACCCCCACCCCCTTATTCCGCAGCACCACCTATTTAGTGGACCCTTTCACTGGCGGCGGATTAGAAACCTGGATAAGGAGAAGCAAACACCGGCGGCTTCTCTGAGTAAGCAACCGGGAGAGCTAAACAGAGGGAGATAGAGGGAGAAGGAGGGATGGAGGAGGATGGAGGAGTAGGGTCCAGGAGTGGTACTTACCTCATAGTAAAGCCATAGTCGAGTCCTACTTCCTCCCTTAGAATCTTTTAACCCCTTGTTATTTTGGAGGTTTCTTAATGATGCGGTTGGCAGTAGGCCGGTGACTGAAGTTGATGATGGGTTCAAGTGGCTTGTGTGCAGGAGGTGTCAGAGCCGGCCTAATGCTGTGTGGTTAGCAGATCGGCGTGACATGTGGGACAGTGTAAACATGGATTAGTTTGATGTCTCAATCACAGCACATTGACAGACGGTTGAGCTGACAGTGAACATGGCCAAGCTATCGGGACACCAGACGTCATTCATGTCATTCTGTATGTTTGTATCATTTTGAAAGTTATAGCATTACAGGAGTACATCATTTTTAATGTTTATGAAATAGTAAACACAGACTGTAATAGAGCAAGGCAACATGAAAGGAAAATAATTATATCCATTTTTAAAGCCTCTATTAATGCAATTCAGACCAACAAAGGGAAAATTGCACACTTACTCACTTAGTAATTTGCCCATTTGCTTATGACGAGTATGCTGAGTATGTGCGATTAAAAATAGTCAGTGCATTTACTGTGCTCCAGCAGAATAGTGCACTGGTCTAGTCCTTATCGAGCAAAATCACTATGTGTAAAATTATATTAATTATATTACTCTGTGTTAATTGGTCCAAAGGGTTTGAAGCTAAAAGGTCAAACATCCAGCAGATTTTTTTTTTAACAGGCTTTTAACTAAAATTGAGATAGACCAATGCCAGAATGTGCAGATTTTTATTCCATCGTTCAATGGATAAAAAGTTTCACACCGATTTTATTTTGCCCAACTTGCCCATGCATTGGACTGAGAATACACATAATTCTCGGTCCAACATTTTGTCTATGAGAGATCCAATGATCCACCACTTCACAACATGGATGTGTGTTACCCATCCAATAGAAATGTATCGCTGGCTCTCAGTCATATGACCTGGCCTCAGCTATCCGCCATATTTGTGCTCCTCCAACTGTGAACAAAGCTGCGTCCCTCACATCTCCCAAACTACATCAACAAACTTCACAAAGTTGTCCTCAGAATAGACAGAAACCACATTCACAGCTTATGACATTTCACGGAAATGCTGCACAAGTAAGGAAAACCACTCAGAATCTCGTTTCCGAAGCAGCTGCCCAACCTTCTGTGAGGAGATGGACTATAGCATCAGTGGATTTACCCATTCAACCTGGGCTAGGGGTAGGGTTAGTTCACCAAGCATACTTCTTATAGTTTTTCTTTTATTTGTAATGTAAGGATGTAATGTGTCCGTGCGCCAACAGAGGGCGCCCTTTGTTTTCTTAACTATATAAGCCCTCCGCAGCTTCGCAACGCGGCAGTTCTCTTTTGTTTTTATGAAGGCAATAAATGAGGAACGTCTGTTCAGCCTCTTCCACCATTGACTCCTGGTTTCCCTATCCGCACTGCTGGCCCCTGACCAGTAACACAAACAACACAACGCAGAGATCACACTTGGGGCTTGCCATCGCTGAACTAGGGTTACATCTTTGGTGCCGTGACCCGGATGGTGGTTTATAAGAGGAAGAGCGGACAACTCTGTGGACTGTTAACATCATAATAAGCTGTATCCTCAGTTTTCAGTTATATGCTCTTTATTACATTATTTTTTTCTCATTGTTGAATAGTGCTTTGTTATGTGATTGAATGCTATGTTGTGAATATTTCTGTAATATTGATTCATCGGTTTAAGAGATTGATATCACGTTATAATTAATCAACATGCAAGGTAATGTGCAAAACCTCCATGAAGATACTCCTCGACGCCCCATTCCCACGATTCCCCCTGCGGTGAGGCCAAAGTTATACCGCCAGCCAGACAGACCAGGTGGGGCAGAAGGAGAGATCCAGACTTTGGACCAAACAGTTATTTTGATGAATCCGTCTGAGCACTCGGAGCAGTATGCCCAACAGCATGAGGCATTATCACCCTGGAATATGGCATATAATGCTCTGCCCACGCCTCCACAGTCTAACCCTCTTCACCTCAATCTGATGACTGGGGGAACCCCCATGCAGGTACCAGAACGCCATGTCCACACACCCAGTTACCAATATCCCCAGGGCAGTTACGGTGGGCCAATGTTAACTGCTTTTGAAAAGTACCCACAAAACACAGGCATTATTAGTCCGGGTAGTATGGCACCTCATGCCGCTGTTCTAAGCCAGCAACCAGTGAGGGTTAATAACACACCTGCTACCCAAGCCGCTCTGCACGCTAATCAAACATACCCATCCATCGCACAACCAGCTCCATACCACATGCAGGCTAGCGCCTATCCACATGAGTGTGCAGGGATCCAGGCGCCTCCCCCTTTCCAGCCCAGCCCAGCCAATTTCACTCAGTTTCATCAAGTAAAAAATGTGGCCATTTTCAGTGGTGGGGCAGACTGCAGAATACTGATTGAGGACTGGATCAGAGACATGCAGTATCTTTTAGATGCAGGTGCCCTACCATCCCACCTCAGTTTTGCAACCATTGTCAGGCATTTGAGTGGAGAGGCACGAAGGCTTGTTCTAAACCTCCCCCCAATAGAGCAAGTCCCGGGGAGGGCTTTTGATGAACTACGGTCAGAATATGGTGACATGCAGAGATCTCTGGATCCCCTGGCCGACTTTTATGAGAGAACCCAACGTTCAGGGGAGACAGCCTGTTCTTTTGCCATTGCTTTAGAGGCCACGCTCAGAGAAGTGGAAGACACCCAAAACAGGGGCCGACCATTCCCAGATCGTGATGCAAAACTGGTGCGACAGTTCATGAGGGGGTTGATTGAAGAGGATGTTTTTTTGAGGATTGCTCCCATGAAGCCGAGAATGCTATGCTTTCGGGAGCTACAGAACGAGCTCAGGAATATAGCCAGAGAAGCCAAGAAGTTCAACCAGCCGAGGCAGAAGAAGACTTTCAGCCAGGTCCAGACTGTCACAAATAGGCAAGTAAGTGGAGCAACTGAGAGAGCTGAAACGGGGAAGCAATCTTCTGAGTTACGTGAACTTACAGACCTCGTGAAAAGTATCGCACTGCATCAAGAAGAACAAAGTAAAAGGCTTGCTCAGTTGGAGACAAAGTTTACCCCTCCCACCTCACCATTCAAGCCGAATTTAGGACCCAGAGACCCTAGCCGAAGAGCCACCATAGTGTGCCACCGCTGTGGCAGACCTGGACACTTGGCCAGGTCCTGTAGGGCGGTGCTACCTGAAAATGAGCCCTCTACCAGTGCTGGATCGTACGCCGCTGTCACATCGGATAGTGGCGCTATCACAGGTGGCCAGCCTTTAAACTCCTAAAGCCTGTGGTGACTGGGGCAACCATGGGCATGCATCTGATCCCCCAAAAGGAATTGGAAACCCCACTTGTCGGACCTTTAAATGAGGGACAGGTTGAAGTTAATGGAATGTCCTGTAAGGCGCTCATTGATTCTGGTTCTCAAGTGACCACCATCACAGACACTTTCTGGCGCTCACACCCTGAGCTGTGTATGCAGGAGATACAAGAGTCTAGCATCCCAATGGAGGGGGCTGGAGGCCATACTATTCCCCATTTTGGTTTTTTATACATAAATCTCAAGATTCCGGGGAAAGACTTTGCCAATGTGCCTGCTTTTGTTGTTCCGGTAACAGAGTACCGGTCTGGAGTTCCATTGTTAGTGGGTACTAATGTCATACGTGCCTCCAAAAGCCATTTTGAATCCCAATATGGAAAACAATTCCTGGTTATGGTACAGGAGAAGCACCCAGAATGGTACTCTGCCTTGACAGAGGTGAGTGGCACAAAACCTTGTGGTTTCGACGACCGCATTGGGCCCTGCGGTTTATACTGGCAGTAAAATGTGTGTCCCTGCAAGCAAAGAAATGAACGTGATGTGCCGGGTAAAAGGGGGGCCAAGAAAGAAAACGTACACTGCGCTGATTGAATGTAACGTAAATTCTCAGCTGCCAGAGGGCCTAGTAGTGGGCAGAGTGCTTGCCTATGTCAGGAAGGGCGTCGTTCCAGTCCGAGTAATGAACCTCTCTGTCCAGCCAGTGTTGATTAAACCACATACTTGTCTTGCAAATGTTTTTCTCGTTAGAGATGTGTTGCAGTGGAGTAATGAGGGGGAGTGCTCTGGGGATTCCAAGATGGAAACATGTCATATTCAAGATCAGATTGTGCAGGCGACTCAGGGCAGGGACATTGTCACATGTCCAGTGGATCTAAGTGGGGCTGCAGTGGAAAATGAGGAGCAGAGGGAAAGCTTGAGGCAACTATTGCTAAAGAACCGTGATGTATTCTCCCAACATTCCATGGATTTTGGGCACACAAAGACAGTACAACATGAAATCCCTCTGATTGATCCCAAGCCGTTCCGTCTCCCCTATCGGAAAATACCACCTGCTCAATGGCAAGATGTCCGCAATCTTTTAAAAGACATGGAAGACACCGGTGTCATCCGCCCAAGTAAGAGCCCGTATGCGTCACCCATTGTGGTTGTAGTTAAGAAGGATGGGACGTTAAGGATTTGCGTCGACTACAGGAGGTTGAATTCCTGCAGTACAAGGAGGGACGCATTCCCTCTTCCTAGGATCGAAGACGCTCTGGAAGCTCTTGGACAAGCACAGTATTTTTCCACCTTGGACTTGACATCGGGGTATTGGCAGGTGGAGGTGGCAGAGCAGGATAAACATAAAACGGCTTTCACCACGCCTATGGGCCTCTTTGAAGCAAATCGTATGCCGTTTGGCTTACAGAATGCCCCATCAACATTCCAGAGGTTGATGACCTGCTGTTTTGGAGACTTGAACTACTCGCACCTCCTTATCTACCTTGATGACCTCATAATATTTTCCAAGGATTTTGAGGGACACCTGCAACGCCTGCAGTTGGTGTTTGACAGACTGCGTAAACATGGCCTTAAACTGAAACCCTCAAAATGCCACTTGATGAAAAAGGAGGTCCAATACTTGGGGCATCGGGTGTGTGCAGAAGGTATCCGCACTGACCCTGAAAAGATAAGCAAGGTGAAGGACTGGCCACAGCCAACAAACCGTAAGGAGGTCCTTCGTTTCCTGGGGTTTGCGGGGTACTACAGGAGGTTTGTGGAGAGCTATGCAAAGATTGCTGCACCCCTCTACCGCCTCACTTCTGGTGACCCCAGAAAGAAAAAAAGGGGTACGAAAAGAACCACTGTACCTGACCCTCCCTTTCTATGGACTGATGAGTGTACAAGATCATTTACCACCCTGAAAGAAAAACTCACATCAGCTCCATTACTTGGATACCCGGACTACACACTGCCATTCGTGCTGCAGACTGATGCCTCCGGAGAAGGCTTGGGAGCGGTCCTGGCGCAAGTTCAGAATGGGGTCGAGAAGGTCATAGCTTATGCTAGTCGAGGTTTAAGTCCACCAGAAACCCGTTATCCAGCCCACAAGTTAGAGTTTTTAGCTCTAAAGTGGGCTGCGACTGAAAAGTTCTTCGACCATCTCTATGGACATAAGTTCTCTGTGCTGACGGATAACAACCCTTTGAAATATGTCATGTCCACTGCCAAGTTGGACGCCACTGGTCAGCGATGGGTATCACAGTTGTCAGGCTTTGATTTCGACATTCAGTATCGTCAGGGAAGGAATAATGCTAATGCAGATGCGCTCTCAAGAATGTCATGCAATGATGTGGCTAGGGCCCTGTCGTGCCCACAGAGGGTGGCAGAAGAGTCTGAGCCTCCTGTGCCCAGTCAAGAGTCAGAGCCCTACGCTGATACTGGTACTGAATGTCTCCCATCAATGACCAAGCAGGACATCCGGGCGGCTCAAAGGGAAGATCTTGTTGTGGGACCAGTGTTGAGCTACAAAGCAATTAATTCCAAACCAAGCAAAAGAGAGAGAGAGGCTTGGGGAGGACAGGCCTCCCTTCTCCTAAAAGAGTGGAGGAAGTTGGTTGTGAGAGATGGAGCTCTGTATCGCACAGTCCGGGACAGTCGTAAAGGAGTCATCAATCAGTTGGTCCTACCTCAGAATCTTCAGACAGGAGTGATGACTGCCCTGCACAATGAATCAGGGCACCTCGGGTTTGAAAGAACTTTTGCTCTCATAAGAGAACGTTTCTTCTGGCCAAGGATGTTTCAAGAGGTTAAGATGTGGTGTGAGCGTTGCGAGCGTTGCTGTCTTCGAAAGACTCCTGCTGGTCTCCATGCCCCGCTAGTCAGTATACATACCTCTGCCCCCATGGAGCTGGTGTGTATCGATTTCTTCATACTAGAGAAGTCTGTGGGTCAAATTGAGAATGTGCTTGTGGTGACAGACCATTTCTCCCGCTTTGCCCAAGCATACCCAACAAGGGACCAGAAGGCCTCCACAGTGGCTAAGGTGCTTTGGAGAAACTTCTTTTGCCGGTTTGGTTTCCCAGCAAGGCTTCATTCCGACCAAGGACGTAATTTTGAGAGTGCCATAGTTCGAGACCTTTGTAAAATCACAGGCATCACCAAAACCCACACCAGCCCATACCATCCTCAGGGAAATGGGATCACAGAAAGGTTCAATCGCACTCTCATGAATATGCTTGGCACGCTGGAGCCTCCTCTGAAACCTCGTTGGAGCGAGTATGTTGATGCAATGACACATGCATACAATTGCACTCAACATGATTCGACAGGCTACAGTCCCTACTATCTAATGTACGGCAGGCATCCAAGACTTCCTGTCGATCTGGTCTTTGGTCTAACATACGGCAGCAACCCCTGTGAATACAGCGATTATGTTCAGGACCTCAAAGACTGCCTAAAGCATGCTTACGCTCAAGCCAACATAAGCTCCAGACAAGCCAAGCTGCAGCAAAAGAAGCATTATGACAGCAGGGTCAAGAAAAGTCTTACATTTGCTCCAGGAGACAGAGTATTAGTCAAAGTCTGCGCCGTTGAAGGTCGGCAGAAGTTGGGGGACCGGTGGGAGTCCAAGCCTTACCTGGTCCTAAAGAAACAGCCTGGAGTCCCGGTTTATGTCATTCAGTCAGAAGATGGTGAAAAGCAAAGAGTGGTCCACGGAAACCTTCTTACCCAGTGCATGTTTTTTCCCTTGGAGTCTGAACTATCGGCAGATGAGGTGGAGGATGGAACTGAGGGTGTCAATGATTCAAGGATTGGCTCTGATGAGGATTGCGGGGAGGAGGATCCATTGGAGGATATGGAGGAAGAAGATAATGCACCAGTGGAGATTCAAAATACCGAAATGGGTATTTCTGAATGTGCTGTGGGCAGAAGAAACCCCCTAAGGAACAGGCAGCCACCCAAAAGACTGTCCTTTCAATTGAGAGCGATGCACGATGAAACAGTCCAGCAAAAGATTGCCCGAGGTCGCAAAATATGGCAAAGGGTCAAGGAGAAACGCAACTTTCGTAATAGAGAATAAAACCCCCTCCAATTTTCTCTTAGTCATTCAAAAGAGACTTTCACCCTGTATTTTATTTTGTTATTTTGTTGTTAAGATGTCTGAGACGCCATCAAACAAACTGGGGGTGGATGTAAGGATGTAATGTGTCCGTGCGCCAACAGAGGGCGCCCTTTGTTTTCTTAACTATATAAGCCCTCCGCAGCTTCGCAACGCGGCAGTTCTCTTTTGTTTTTATGAAGGCAATAAATGAGGAACGTCTGTTCAGCCTCTTCCACCATTGACTCCTGGTTTCCCTATCCGCACTGCTGGCCCCTGACCAGTAACACAAACAACACAACGCAGAGATCACACTTGGGGCTTGCCATCGCTGAACTAGGGTTACAGTAATATTAGATTAGCAGAGTTGAAGGGACTCGAGATTATTACGTTAAAACTAGCTGCTGACATAACAATTAACTGGGCTCCATATTGTTGAATAACAAGGCAATAGACAAGGTGTTGACTGTATGAAAGCTTCATTAATAACACGGTACACTATGCAGACTCACTGGGACCAGCATGCTTCACTCTCATCGTGTCAATTACAATATGTTATATAATTACGTCGGTAACCTTGTTTGCTTGTTGTGTTTCCACAAGACTGCTGTTCTTGTTGTTGTTGACTGTCATTGAAACACCAATGCGTTTGATAGACAGATAGATAGATGAACAGATATATAAATACTTATTTATCACATACAACGTTAACAACACTCAATAACAAGTGATGGACATATAGTGCTTTTCATGTTTCCCAAGGACAGCATTATTTATCCACTCCTCTCACGGTAGCTGTATTACAGCTGTAGCAAGAAGCAATAACTGGGTCTTATCCTGTAGTTCAGAGTTGTCTGGACTCGCAAACATTGCAACTTTTGGCCATAAATATGAACTTATAACTGACAAACTGGTTATTGGACATGCTTTTCTCTGAAAGCTGTTCAGGGGTCTCTCGGTCTCACTGCCTCCCCTCCCTTGGCTCGCCCCACAATTCTTTTTTGGACCAATCGTTGCCTTTGCTCAAGCATGGCACAGGTTTTAAATGTAACTTAACTCATATTAGCTCGCACGTTAGCATTACTGTTAGCATGCAGTAAATCCAGTCAGTTTTGACACTACATACAGTAGGTCCCATTCCGTTTTGTCGCCTTTCACGCGTGAATCACACGTGAGTCTCGTGTGATTCACGCGTCTTTTATTTCCCCCCCTCCCAGTGACGTTGCAATGACCAAAACAACCACCAGGTGGCACTTGTGAGCAGGGTTACATTGGCCAGTCTCTGGAATAACCCGCAGACATTAAAACTACTGCACACTGAGAAAAGTGTTGCAAGCGCAACTTTGAACCTAAGTACTTGTATTTGCAATTTCGGACTTAAAATGTATTCTTATGGTTTTAATATTAGAAAAATAATTTCCATTTACTAAAACAAAAACAATATACCCACAAATACGTTTTGTGTGTGTATTTAACTAAATTTTGAAAAAATATTGTTGGCAGTGCAGTGCTTCTTAAATCTGACGCTATCAATAAGTGTTCAGACAAAGTAATTTCTACTGGGCGGGAGTTTGCTTCCGGTTCGGACCGTTTCCGCGAGCTTGTTGTTGGTGATGGGCGCTGAGCCAGCCTTGGACACGGTCGTGTGGTTTCCCGTGAGATCCAACTCAAAGTAAGATTTTTTAAATATATGGTGCTTTCTCTGTAAGGTTTGTCGCGTATTTGATCAAATATATACAATCTGTGGTCAAATCGTCGTTTTATTTTCTTGGCAGTTCGTGTCCAAAATTACTTCATGTTAACTGTCTACTCTAGCCCCAAACATGTTGTTAGCATAAAACTGTGCCAGTATAATGGTCCTACAATTTCGTTGTTTAGCAAAGTGATTTGTGTTAAGACTCGTAACATTACCAACTACCCCTTAAATGTTCTGAACCATAATAACAGGCGTAGTTTTCGCAGTTTGGAGCTGCTAGCTTCTAGCTAGCTGTTGCTAACGGTACGCAGCTAACATAAGTAGACCAAAGTCGCTACTGTCCTGCTCTGTCTTGTTGCCGGAGGTGCAAGTGGAAAATACAGTTGGCAACAGAAGCCACGTGACATTTATTAATCTTCTATTATTTTCTACTCTTGGGGACAGTTCATTTCCCCGCAGAAGTCCCTAGTTACATTAGCTCAGCGGAGCGACTCTCAAGGAGGAGACAGGTGCAGAGCATGGTGCGGAGGCAGAAAACATGTTTATTGCTATCTGAGATCGCTCTGATTTCCTCGCGGTCAGAAAGTAGCTTGTTTCAGCAGAAAACTAACGTTAAGTTAACAGCTACTGCATGTTGTTAATGTTATGACCCGTCCGCATCAGCATCACTGTATTATATCAAGGCCTGTCTGTTTTAGCCAATGTGCAGCTATATGGTTAGTTATGATAAGTTCAAATAAATTCAGAAATCTGCAGCACATTTAAAAAACCCAAACAAAGTATAAGTGATACATTATAAACATGCATTTTTAAAAGAACATACTGAGGGTGACTGCTATAGCCTATTGCAGTCACAAAATTAGAGTGGAAATGTTAAAAATCTAATGTGACTTACATTCGCATTTCATATGAACAACATTTTGGCATGTTAATTTTGAAATAAACGATATTTTGCTGGACAAGTAGGTTTTGTTTCCGGGCAAGTAAAAAATACCTGCCACTTCAAGTACCTCAAAGCACTTAATGTCAAGTCCTGACAAGGTAATACATTCAGCTAAAGACAGGTACATGTTGTGGTATAGCATGTTTTTTGTGGAATCACGTGTAGTAACGCAAAATGCACAAAGCACTTTGTTTGTACTAATCTAATGCATTTTTTATATGTAAAAAGCAGCACCGCCTGTTTAAATGCTTATGATATTTGTCCAATGAAGAGTATTTTTAAGCATGTTTATTAATTTTATTTTATTTTATTTTAGATTTTTCCTTTCACTGCTGCCAATTGATGGAGGAAAGCTACAGCAGGAGGTAAGTGTGATAAAAAAAGAACTGTTAATAAATTAAGTGAATGTAATGTACTCGCTAGGGATGCAATAGTTTTTTGGGGGGGGGGCATTATACATTGGTTGGATCCTGCTCCAGACTTGTTTCTGCTTTTTGTAATGTAAAACATTTTATCTTAACTGCTTTAAAGTGACTCAATGGTGTAAACGTTTTTGGGTCTGGAGTTTTTTTTACTGTAATGCTCATTGTTAAATAATATTTTGAATATGAATAAGGGCTGTCAAGCGATCTTAGATATTTTTATTCGCTTGATACACTTCAAACAAATTATCTTCGGTCTTCTTGCATCCCTTGTATTTACAATACATTACAATACTTGCATGTGATACTGTTTGGTATGGGCCACACTGATTTTGTTTCTGTAATTTAGAGCATAAATGAGTGTGCCCTGCAAGATTTGCGGTGAGTCCTTGGCAACAAGAGAGGAGATTTTCCATCATTTGTCATTATATACGTTTTTATATCTAAATGAACACAATCAGAAATATGAAAACATATTCAAGATAAGAAGTGCTGAATACTTCCTAATTCGTGGTGTTTTTTATTTCTATGTTGTTTCGTAGGATCCAACCGCTGCTATAGAAAAGAGGAGGGAAGTCGTAATCCGAGGCCTAATTGAATACATGGGGGAGAAGCCAGGAGACTTGATTTCAGATCTACAGGTAAAATTTCCAATCTTTTCTTTTTCAGGGTATAAAAAAAGTACCGTACCTTATGCTGATATGTCTATCATTAAGAGTAGTAGTATCACCAAATCCTCTTCATCCTCTGCATATGCTAAAAGTCAGCATATGCAGATTATTTAAAAAACATTTTGGTCTCATTTGACCATAGAATAATCTACAATCATGTAGAAAAGGTTAAATCATCTACTGGACTGGGTTTTGGTAAAGTTGAGGATGTTTCGCTTTTAGTGACACAAGCTTCTTCAGAGCTCTTAAAGTCATAAAAGAACACTTTTACCCAAACTGGACTAAAAACTAAAAAGACCCAGGTTCCTTCCAGAAGGAGAGAACCAAAACTGCCAAAAATGTCTATTCAAATTGTTTTCAATATCACTCAACTTTACCAAAACCCAGTCCTGGCGATGATTTAACCTTTTTATAAGATGGACACTCCCTGGATGAATGAGAGCCTTCACAAACATCTGACCATATGACATTCCCCCAGCCCTCTGGATGGAATGGTCACTGGAAAACTTCAGTTGGACATGAATGAACATGAGCTGGCTAAAGCAGCTGGACCTGTATGGTATGAATTAAAGGTGCACCGATCTGATCTGTCACCAATCATGATTGGTCGATCACGGCCTAATTTTTGTGATCGGTGATTGGTGAAATGCGCCGATCAGAGGGGCCGATCAAACGTAGATTTCAGACTTTCTTACAGTAGATAATCTGGTGAAAACTCCACAGTATAGCGCCGCTCTAAACCGAGTTTTAAATGTAATTCGTGGCTACAAAACCGCTCTGGATGAAATGCTCGGCTGTATCCCTCTGCGCATGTCGGCTCTCCTCTTTCCAGACTGCAGTGTAACTAAACAAAACAATGATGAAGCTTGAGCTAACCCGCTATCGCTATGCTTTAAGACAAAAACATGAGTTTGTGACAATAAAATATCAGCGTATGGTACTTCTAATAGTAGGTAAAGGAGATGATTTGCCATGTACCATTATTCACATTTGCAACTACCGCATGACTTCACATGCGCGCTCCGTAAGTGATACCACAGGATATTTAACACAAAACTGTGCTATCTGAAACGCACGTGAAACTACAATCAGAGGCAGGGGTCATTGTCCTGTCTTATTTTGCTCTTTAGTACTCACTAAATGGTAGCTCGTCAAAAGGGAAAGTATGTGCGTATGTGTTTGGCACCTCATGTCGCCGTCTCCTTGTGGAAGTTCTTTTCTTTCTTCAAATATTGTCTAATGTTACTGTC